ATGGTTCTTTTAGGTGCAAAATTTTGATGCAAAGATGAGGGCAGCACATCTTTCTTTGGAGGGAACCATTGCTAACACAAGAACACAATGATTGGAAGCACTTCTTCCTTAATTTTATAGCAATCATGTGCCGATGATATGATTAGTAAAATGATGTTAGCTGGTAATTTGGTGCCAGGGACAAAAACAGTGAAATTTGGGGTTTTGTGATAAAGCTTTTTGCAAATATGTAAAATGCCTCTGATCACTCTGCACAATAATCTAGAAAAATGTATATCATAACAATTGAAGCAGCAAATTTTTCAAAGTTGGCCACAGCTGTACCCTGTCATCCAAGTCGGAAGCGGGACCATACTAAGGTACCATTTTTGGAAGGTAATTTATCTGCTAGACAACATTAGGATCAACACTAGGAGTCTCATGCTCATCTGAGGAGGATGCCTCATAATCAGGGCCCTACTCGACATTATCGTCTATCTCAGACACATTCTTCTCTGTCACTGTCACTGTCAAAGAACTATGACAAAATCTAATTGACAGAAAACCTTTGCTTTGAGGTCATTTTCAATTGAGAGAGAGCACAAAGAGAGAGCTCACAGAGCACAAAGAGAAATGGTTTATAAGGCTTCCGTGGAAGCGTTCATATATTTGCCCCACCCCCACGGCACAAAATATCAAAGTTCTTGCAAGAATTATATTTTCTCTTCCCTGGAAATATATAATTGCCACTGGAAATATCTATTTTCTTGTGAGAATTATGATTCCCCCCTCCACTATATCGTGTGAACTATTAGAGGTTCTCGCAATACTTCAGGTAGGCCTATATGGTAATGTTAGGTTACGGCCCTAAAGCAGAGGGAAGTTAAAATGACCTCAATATCACCCAAAACAATCAAAACAAACGTGTGATTTGTGTCAAATCACCAATGTGTGAACAACAAAAATTGTTATATTTCTTATATGTTTTATACAGCAAAATGAGCCTGGGGTCAAATTGACCCCAAAGAACACAGATAGTACAAAATGTCTACTGGACATTGAAAAACATATCATCATGTTAATTTTATGTTTACCCAGTTGTTCCCATTAAATTAGGAAAAGTCATTTAATATGAAGCAACATTTTTTTTGTAAAATCATGTATTTAGAGACGATAAACACTGAATGGGGGAGTTTGGATGGAAATTGGAGATTCACTCTAAAAGTGATGATTGACCATTAGGGATAACAAATGCAGTTAACAAACAGAATCTGGTTTGTACAAAGCCTTAAGTGAGGGTTTCAAGCTATGGCACACGAGAAACTGACCCTCCAGCAAAAGCTTTCTTTCAAAAGTCAGAGGAATCCTGTCAGACATGGAACTTTACGATTGATGACTGTGCTTGCGAGAAGTTACAGGGGAGACTAGTGAGTCATGGCTATAGATAAGGAGCAAACTGGACCATTGACGTACAGGGTTGAGCTCCCGGGTGGCACATTATTGCGGCGGTATTTTGATCAGCTAAGTAAAAGTGGATTGAATGGGGCAGAAGAGCTCCCAACAGTCTGCTGATTCTTCTGTCACTCCGATAGAGCTACCATCATCTCCTCCAAGAATGTTCAGAGTCATTGTCCTCATCTCCCACAGAGGTCCGACACTTTTTCACAGCGCTCCATTGACTTTAACACAGGCGTCTCATATTTTTGGTCTCGGCAGGCTATTACCGTCGTAGTTTTATCAAAAATATGGTTAAACGTTGTGCCTGGGGCATTTGTAACACAGATACGCGTTTCCCAGAGAGGTTGTGCGTTTTTTTCCCTTCCCAAAACCGAAGTCAAATCCTGACTTCGGTTTGTACGATTATAGAAGTGAATAGTGACCTACCCAGCTTTGCATGAACAGTGTTGCTCCTTGATATTGTTATTCCCAGCCTCCGTCTCGATTAGTAGGATATGCGGTGGTTAATTTTTTTACTGTGACCGGTATGCTTTTGCCTCTATTTGGATGCCTTGTTGTTCCTTGCGTTTCACCCGTATGTCGTGAATATAGCCTTCGAACGTATGTTGCAGCCCCTTTTGCCTACTTCTATCGGACACTTTATTTGCTGCTTTATAAAAGTTTGATAAAATTTCAGCAGGAAGAGCTGTCACAGCATTAGCCATGTTGATACCAGAGCCCAGATGAAGTTTGTTTGTCGGACGTAGCAACAGTAACTAAGGGGAGCGAGGCTTAGCCAAAGCCGAATTAAGTCACAATCTCGAACTTTGAATTAAAGGCACACTATGCAAGAATTGTACCTTAATATAACAGCTTCAAAGTCATTTAGGTGGTAAACAAACTCATAGTAGGGTGAATCATCCTGGTAGTAAAGCTTGGGGGGGACGCCGCTGGAAAAACCAGCAATGCAAGTTTGAAAGGAGCGCCCCCGACAATTCTCGCGAGAATCACGACATGCTTTACAGCAACGACGTCACACACATCAACAACAACATATGAAGCACGAAGACACTTGCGCGCATTTCAGACGTGATACTCGACGATGGAAAAAGCAAAGAAAACTCGGTCGGAAGAGACTAGGAAAAGGAAAAGAGAATCTGACCGCGTGAGGAACCGGACAAGAGTCCCACTCGGTCGGGCTTTTCACTTGTTGGCGCAAGCTAAAAAGCACCACTGGATGCAACAGTGATGCTGACCTGGCGATCTTGTTGATGGACTAGTAAGTAAATCTTTCTAAGTTTGTGTGCATTTTATTTTGTGATTTCACCGGAATGAATAGAGAGTCTCCGCAACGGCGATAGATTGAAGAGCGCGCGTCCGAGTGAAGACTGCGCGCACGCCGCCACAAGAGACACTATGTATCCATGACCATGACACTGATAGCAGCGGACACGAGCGCTCAGGTTGAGTTCAAAAACACATCTCTTATTTAAAGACACACTATGCAAGATTGGTACCTTAACAGCTTCGAAGGGGTATCAGGCCGTGAGTGCAGAGACGCTCTGCGTGAGTGGTATTTACGACAGTAACGTTAAATACAAGTACTCCACAGCGACTCTAGGGGTCGCTGTTTGATAAAAAAAAAATTCCTGCATAGTGTGCCTTTAAAAAATGGAATCGTCAATGCTGCCACGCCCCAAAAACACGCGTGTTGAAGTGCTGCGAGTCAACCTACTCTAACTTAGCTACAGCCTGTCAAAAGATAGCATGGCAACTGCAGATGCAGGAGACCCATCGACAGAACTTAAACCCCTATACTCTTTCATTGAAGTCGCCGGTGTGGAAGTATTTTGGATTTCCAGAGTTATGTTGACAATGTTCGCGTTCGCGTTCAACGTTCGCGCTTCAAAAAAGCCACAGTTTGCAAGCTCTGCTATGTGAGTGTACCATATTCTTCCACTGGCAGCACAACTAACATGGCAGGGCATCTCCACAGGCACCACAAAAACATAGATTTATCTGTTAAACCAACAACTGTTTGTTTGTTTTGTGAACTTGAATGTCATCTTCTGTGAAGAAGACTGCAGTTACAGAGAGAAACTATGGCAGGTTATTTTGCTTAAGTTTCCAATTGACTAAAGATATAAGTTATTATATTATATTATATTATATTATATTATATTATATTATAAGCACTTTATGTTGTTAATAAATGTTTTAAATTTGACAATGTAGTGTGGTACATTGCGAACAATGGTCAGATATTATATTGCATAAAAACCTAGTCTAAAAATGGCATAGCAACCTGTGCTTTAAAAAAAATGAATGTAAAAATCGAGAATCGAATCGAACCGTGACCTTAGAATCGAAAATTAAATTGAATCGAAGATTTGGAGAATCGTGACACCCCTACACTGAAAGTTTAGAAGACTTAAAAGTTTTACGGGGTTTTATTAAATGATTTATTGATTTATTTTATACATAATGAGCAAGTTGAATGAAGGAGAACAAAGTTTGTACAGTATGTGTTTGTGGTTGGTCTTGTGGGTTTCCTGTGGGGCTAAACTGTGTGGGGAGTTTGACTTTGTTGACATTCCCTGCTGTGGCTAGTATCTGCCTAGCTCATAACTAAAACCTCTAGTACAAAGTTAACCGATGACAGATGAGGGAGTGTCTGCAAGTCGACACTCTTGATTTGTAGATGATATTTACATGCAAGTTAATATTAAACAGGAGGTTGAAACTCTATCATATGATATTCAGTCTTTCTTCGGTTTAGTTAACATTTCTTATAAGTAGCAACATTATTTTAATGTCAAAATGGAAATTATGTTGAAATATTGCAAAAACAATTTAAATCCATGATGTATAAAAACACCAGCATAGCCATACATATAAACAGGTGTAGAACATGGATGGATGGATGGATTTCAAACTAATATGTATTGCTTACTTAATGACTGACAGACAAATGTATTATCTAAACTTACCACGTTTTATTATAAATTGCTTAGGTTTGCTTTGGGTTCAGTACTGACATTTAGTTTTATAAATGGTCACATAAATAATTTGAGATATATCTTTCTGAGTTTAGTCTAATTCTCAGTGCAGAGGAAATCTGGTCAGTAAACTTTTTTCATTTAAAGTGTCACTTGTCAGACACTCCCTTGAACTCAGATTAACAGTTAAGATAACATTGCTAAAAGTTTGGAATTCAGCCCTGCTGTCCAAGAGTTATATAAGCACCCTGCACTTTAGGTATTTATTACAGTAACGCCCAAGGAGTAGAAAGAAATATAGGGACACAGTTAGAAAAGGGAAATAGGCAGAGAGAGCACACTAAAAATCAAAAGAATATTCATAATTGGAATACTAAAAGTCTAAGAAAGAAACTTTGGACAGCTAACAGAACATGATTGAAGGAGGTTAAGCGAACAACTAACTTTAGGAGTAGGCAAAGACAGTGAGCGTCTCAAAGTGTATATTTAAGGCTACTAATCCAAGGATCATTTAAGAAAAAACACAAGTGACATTTCAAAAGCATAAAGGAACAAGACAGGAAGACATAACTCAGTATATACTTTAAGGCAAAAAGAAAGATTTCAACAAGAGTAAATTAGGGAGGAAAACTTCAGAAAGCAGGACTAAAAGGGATAAGAGGATATTCCAGAGGACGTTTTTTGTGGTGATGGAAGAGGTACTGAGCTATGAAGAAGCCATTAAGAGGGCAGGTGATGCTATTCATCGGTTTCCTCTAATAGATGTTCAGGGTGTCCCTCTCATGAGCACCATTGCAGACAACTGGAAATCAATCTGGGAATTCTGTCCTGACCCATCAGACCTACTCATCTCTACTTATCCTAAAGCAGGTAAAAAAAAAACGGTTAAAAAATAACTTGCTAATCATCCTAAGGTCTTTTTAATGTCCACTTACTGTAAGACCATGCAGACTACACTGTATACTGTGTACTTTGCACTCTTTCTTGACACTATTTGAGCAATGGATTTAAAGGAACAGTCCACCCAAAATTAAAATTCTCTTAAAAATCATTTACTCACCCTTAATATGAATTATGAATGAATATCATAATTCATATTAAGTTTCTGTTGTGGGAATACAAATTAAAGAATCTGTCTAGATCCACTGATTCTATGTCCTGACATAACATCACATGAAAAAAAACTAATGTGAACTACATTATTTATGGCATTCAAGATGAACATAATGGCATTAATTTAATGATTAGATTGAATAGTTTCCATTCAGGGGGTTCTGCCATTCTCTTCATAGGGTCAAACTATGTGTGAATATTGACATGTCTCTATTTCTCATGACCAGGGACTAGGTCTGCTGGATCTCACAGTCAGGGGTAATGTCCTGTGTTGCCTTTAGATGCTTTGGTTAAAGCGGTCATCTCTGAGGCTGAAATAATAATAAAATAGCAGAAAAGGTACTGGCAGCTCATTACCTGGACATTGATTGTTGATTTAATTAAAACAGAAATTAAATAAAGTAAACCTGGCTAGAGTTGTTTAATCCTCCTCTGCAGAGATCTTGAGAGATTTAGTGTCTTATTTTATCTTCTGTTGATTTCATCTAAGGCTGTGGCTGAAGTCAGTTGTAGTTCTTGCATTTCCCTTTCCTTCAGGGATTCTGCTTGTTAACAGCAGGTGTTCATAATTAATGCTCAATCACCACTTAATTATCTCATTACCTTCAACGCTGCTTCAATGGTACTTTAACTCTGTAGTGTGCACACATATGAACACTGAGCAGTGTTAATTTAACATGGGCGTTTTTCTGTGTACTATTACATAAATCTTACCTGTTTCATTTACGTTTGACTGACAAATATGAATCACATTCAGTTTATTAATACAATTATATAAATCTTATCTGTTTCATTTATATATGACTGAAAAATATGAATTACATTCAGATTATTATTTGGTTTATGTTAAAACTATGTAATCCAAATGGATGGAAATTTGATATGCAATTCAAATACATAAATCTTATGTTTAGACATACATTTTTTTTGGAGTGTGTAAAGCTGCTTTGAAACAACCTGTATTGTAAAAATCGCTATATAAATAAAGGTGACTTGACTTGACAATAACTGGCAATAACTAGGCGCTAGTCCTGAACCTATACTCCTAAACCTAATCTTAACCCATAGTTACCTTATATTATTCAGTACTTTCTTCGTAAGTACACTGTAAGTACAGTGAAAGTGCACATACTGTAAAATAAAGTGCAACCAGATGGTTTATGTAAAACATAGCGTGTATGTGTGTGTGTGTGTGTGTGGTCAATTATTGGCTAAAGAGCATAAAACCCATCAAAAATAAATGTCAATTTATTTCTTGAATTTGCTAGGTTGTCTAGAAAATTAATAACAACGAATGTGCATCAGGTGTGTTTTGCTTTTTAATGTTTTGTAAACTTTATCATTATTTATTATATTATTATATTACAATGCTATCATATTTTGTGCAGGCAATTAACTTATTTTGTTGTAAATACCTATAAGTATTGTGGTTTTCCGCCATGTTTCTCACTGACACGTCCCTAACTTGCAAACTCAGGGCTTAAAGAAAATCGATTGAAATTTGTAAACCTCTCTGTCTTTATTATGCATAATGCCGCAGTCGGCCGCTGCCTCTCCTTTCATTTTGTTGTTTACTGTCATGGATACGTCACTCCCTCACAATGATCACTGTCACCCGAGTACTAATCACCTGCACCTGTCACTCATCAGCTATGGACTACTTAAACACACACCTCAGTCACACTGATTGTCTGTTCTCCCAAGCGGATACAAGACTAATGCCGAGTTCAGACTGCACGATTTTCAAAATAATCGGGTCACTGTTGTTTTCACACTGCATGACTATCTGGGGTAACATTCAGTTGCTGCTGTGTTCACACTGCACGATGGATCGGCGACAGGAGGTTTCACACTGCATGACTTTACAAAAGAAAGAATCGCCGACAACTTCTGCCTGGTCCGCAAACTACGTTTCACAACCAAACAAACGCGAGAAGTGATAAGGAAATAACGGAAGATCACGCGTGCGTGAGACCAGAGTTCTCGCGCGACACTGAATTTGTTATTAAAAATGATAGCCTACAAATTGTCTGTGCACTGATTTGTAGCGAAAATGAAAAAAAAAAAAAAAAACAGTTTATGCAGGAAATGGTTGGGGAGACGAGGGGAGCAAGGACTCTGTTTTGCAAAGAGAGTTGGGGGCAAATAAATAATTTTGCAAATGTCCTGCTGTTGCTGCTGGTCATGCAAATGTTTGTGCTTTGTTTCTGTTTGATATAATTGTAAATATAGGCCTATCTATTAAAGGTGCTCTAAGCGATGTCACGCGTTTTTTAGGCCAAAACTTTTTTTTTGTCACATACAGTGACATCTCCTCACTATCCGCTAGCTGCCTGTCCCCTGAACACACTGTAAAAAATCGCGGTCTCTGCAGACACCCCAGGCTCCACAAACGGCAACAAAAACAAACTGGGCTTACCCGCACCACGAAACATAACAAACTGTTCCAGCCAAAGACCGACAAGAAGGGTTTGGGTTGTTAGTGTGCAGATGAGGAGGAGGGAGGGTCTAGCTAGCCTCCGTTTTGTTTGACAATAGTTCGAACGTCAACAAGAAGTGACGTCACCCAGGATCGCTTAGAGAACCTTTAAAATACTGATATTCTGGTCTATAACTCCTCCTCCTCCTCCCTGTATCTTGCTCTCTCATTGGCTGTCGGTCATCGCCGATGTAGTTTTCAGTCAGAACACATTCACACAGCAGGATTGTGAATCGCCGACAGGTGATATTTAGCATGCCAAATATCTCACGGGCGTCGGCGACTCGTCGGCGATTCTCTCAGATCGCGTCTTTGCTCATTCACACTGCGTGATTGTCACTCGCGTGAACGAGCACCGATTTGCCTGTGATTTCGGGCATTTGTCGGCGATTTCTCAAAACCTGTCGGCGAGCCAAAATCGGGGCTAAAATCGTGCAGTCTGAACTCGGCATAACGCTCTATGCTCTACTTACCTGTGGACGACTTATCTAAGAAGATTCCAGTTCCTACTCCAGCGTTCCACGATCCCCCACTCCATCGTCTCCCTCCTTTGTCTCTGTGCACTTTCCCTGTCTCCTGGATTCTCTCCTGCCAGCGGCAACTGAGGTGTGTGAATACCATCCATTCCCTTCGTTCATTCCCCACTCAGCTATATTCAAGAAAAGACTGTTACTTTCAGCCTCCATATCATCATCGCTCATTGCTCTGTTTCATTCAGATACCTGCCTGCTTTGACTCACTCTCTGCTGCATCAATAAACTTGTGTATAACTGTTCTCCCGTTGTGCTCTCTGAGTCTGCATATTATTACAGTCATCTTGTGGCCCACAGAAATTTGCTGAGGCCCCCTTGTGGGCTCCAGCTCCCTGGTTGAGAACAACTTGTCTAATGTTTGTCTCTGTGTTGAGGCACAACCTGGACTCAAGAGATAGTGGATCTTCTACTGCACAATGGAGATGCTGAGGTGTGCAAGAGAGCGCCGACAGCTGTCCGTATTCCATTTCTGGAAATTTGCGCTCCTCCACCTATACCATCAGGTACACATTTCTGTGCATGCTTCATCTATACTTATCACAAGGTTTTTGTTATATGAAGAATGTGTCAGTGCACCTGTGTCTACACCACTCATGTCTTGAACATATTTATCTTTTATGCTTCATTCAGGGCTTGACTTACTTAGACAGATGAAACCACCGAGAGTAATCAAAACTCACTTACCCATTCAACTAGTGCCTAAAGGATTCTGGGAAAATAAATGCAAGGTAATAATTTAATTAGAACAAAGTATACTTTTGATAATTTCAAATACAAGGTCAAATTTGGGTTTATTTTCATTCTTCCTATCTGTAAGGTCCACCCATTGGCCCAACACCGGAATCCAATGGTATGGTCGAAGGAATAATGCGTGTATGTCTTTTCAGCGCTCCAGTGAAGTTCACTTAATTTATTGGAATTTAGTTTAAATAATACTTTAGCTCTACGCTTAATCTGACTCCAATTTCAAATGTTAATCAAATTTAGATTGTGTTTCTTATTAGAAAACAGTCATAAATACTGATTATGAGTTAATTTAGATCTTTGATTATTCTGGCCATTTCATAATTTCAAATATTCGTTCATTAAGGACCTGGTGTCGCTTTGAGACGTCACGTCGCGAGTGTGCGCTCACGATCACAAACTAGCCAGTCCTAAAATAGTCAGAGGGTGCAGTGCAAACTATCTTACCCTACGCGGCCGCTCACTGCTGACTCATAGGTGTAATTTTTCTCAATAGTTGCAGCGTACAACATGCTAAGTTAGGAGATAGTCAGGAATCAGAAGGTCTAATGATGTGCCCCATGCTCCATTCATTAGTGCCTTAGGTGTGATCTATCCTGGACAGAGATTTGCGGGAACAACAGACTACACATAATCTACTAGAAATAATGATTCCAGAAAACTTCAGAATAATCAAGGTTAACATTTATTTTTGTCAGGAAAAATGTACCGTGCCAATTTCACAAGTAAATGATTAAAAGCCAATTCAGAAATAATAAATGCATGACATCAATTACTCAAAGATGATTCTAAAAGTAAGCAATGCATTCCTGACAGAGACACACAGTAGTGTGTGAGAGCTTTCCAAGGGGATAACACTGACACATTACTGCATGGGGGTTTTCCTGGTTACAGGTCCCAAAGATTGCTCTGTTACCTAGCCTTAAATACCCAGACCAGAAAAAGGGTTGTAACAATATTTTTCCAGTGTGTTTTGGGTCAGTTCCTGTACCCCAGGGGGTAGCACCTGGTCTCGGGGGAGAGGGGAGATGTCTTGAAGAAACATCACCCAAAGAGGAACACAGGATTCTCCTAAGTCCTCAATCCTTCTCATATTACCAATGACTGCAATGAAATTAAGACCATTTTACCAATCGCACCGAGACACTTAAAATGATACCAAACACGAAAAGGAAAAACAATAGATTCCCAAGATACATCATATATGATATATAAGCATTCTTAGTGAACTTTTGGTGACTTGACTCAGGGGGAGAGGGAGAGGGGGATGCAGAGATAAGGTAGGAGAAACGTTTGGACAAGACAATGTCCTGTGCTCTGTCTTTGCGATCTTCTGTCCAGGGTGCGTTTTATTGCTTTATGGTGAGTTTTATCTCAGCTTTTGTCTTAGCAGGAAAATCGGTTCTTACATATCCAAAGCAAAAGATAACAAAATGACCTGTCTCTAGAGTGTACTGGTAATAGGCACTCAGCAATATAATGTTAAAACCCCTTGATCTGCCTCTGACCACAGAGTACCACAAATCATGTCAACTAGCTGCCCTGCCTGCTTTTCCCCAGGTCATCTATACGGCCCGAAATGCTAAGGATAACCTTGTAAGCTACTTCCACTTTGATCGTATGAATCTTACCCAGCCAGAGCCAGGACCTTGGGATGGATACATTCACAAGTTCATGAGGGGGAAATGTGAGACAAAACTACATATTTAAATGCAGAATGTAATTTAATCTGGAATCTTTACTCTGTACTCTAATGTTTTTACAGTAGGTTGGGGCTCTTGGTATGACCATGTCAAAGGTTACTGGAAGGAATGCAAGGAAAAGAATATTCTCTACATGCTCTACGAGGACATGAAGGAGGTATAGTTTTAATCCAGCATATCCTTTCAAGTCCTGTCATTTAGCTAAAATCTGATTTATCTTTTATTTTATATCCTTTTTTTTTTTTTTAGACTGACTTAATTGTATCTATGTTTTTCTCTTTTCCTTTCACCAAGAATCCTCTTAGGGAGATTAAAAGAATCATGCACTATCTGGACCTGTCTGTTTCTAAGGATGTCATAGAAAGGATTGTGCAGTTGACATCCTTCCAAGTCATGAAAGACAATCCAATGGCTAACTACTCCTACATCCCAAAACCTGTGTTTGATCAGTCTATTTCTGCCTTCATGAGAAAAGGTAAATATAAAACCATACAAGAAATTCCTTAGTATTAGGGGTGTGACGATGCACTTAGCTTATGAGACGAGATGATAAACGATATTGGGTTCACCAGAACGAGACGAGACAATGTTTTAATGCTATTTTTAAGAAATCTTCAATGATGAAAGAAATGAAATATATATATTTTTTTTATTTGACTGAAAGTCACAAAATGCAAAACAATGCAGGTGCATTTTGAAATGTTTTAACTAATCTTCAGTTCTACTTTCTGAGTATGAATTATAATATGCTGTAATAGACAAAACTATATAATGCACGCACTGTAAAAGGTTTTGCTACAAACTCAACTCTGTCATACTGAAATCGCGATACTTTTCACCTCGCGAGATCTCATCACACCCCCACTTATTAGATGATATTTATTCTTAGTTATTTAAACTTTTAAATGTTTTTAGTTATAGAATGAGGAGCAGGACCTAATATTTCCCAAAAAATAAGACTGGTGTACCCCTTTAATGGCTGCCTGAGAAAGTTAGATATGTTAATGTTCTTTGTAGTTTGTTGTGGACAACAATATAGAAACTAAGAGAAATCCAGCAACACTTGTGGTGAAGAGAACTTAAATTATTCATAAAAAAATACTGATGTATTTCGGCTTGAGAGCCTTCCTCAGGGTATATAACAGACAATACATTGAACATTTAAAAAACATCTCCATATTAAAGGATTAGTTCACTTTAAAATGAAAATTAGCCCATGATTTACTCAACCTCAAGCCATCCTAGGTGTATATGACTTTCTTCAGACGAATACAATTGGAGTTATATTAAAAAAATATCCTTGCTCTTCCAAGTATTATAATGGCAGTGGATTGCAACCAACAGATTGAAGCTCAAAAACGTGCATCCATCCATCGTAAGTGAACTTCAAACGGCTCCTGTGGGTTAATAAAGGCCTTCTGAAGCAAAACGATGAGTTTGTGTAAGAAAAATATTCATATTTAACACGTTACAAAGTAAAATTCTAGCTTCCGGCCAAATTAACTACTTGTAAAGTGTAAAGTGTACTTGTAAAGTAAACTCCTCCTTTAAGCTTATTTAATCATTCAGTATTAGGGAAACAAAGGAAATTCACAACAGCTGACAAGCTCCACCCACAACGCCACATTCCATAGAAAGAAATTAGGCTTGTTTGAGATGAGCAAAATCTGCGCAGAACTATGGGGTTAGAATTGTTGCATTATTCCAAATAAATAGATTGAGATTCACAAAAAATGTATCAAATTCACAAATAAATACAGTAGATTGAGATTCACAAACAAATGTAAAGAGTTTCTAGCCTGGTTAAAACCAGAACATTCTCAGTTGTAACTGAGTTATGGTCTGGCAAAGCGTCATAGACAAATCATTTCCAGAGGGGCGTCACCAACGGACGTCGCGGATAGACCTAAAACCAATCAGAGCGATGAAGGAGATGACGTATGCAGAGCGGTGAAGAAACATCTCCGTGTGTTGTTCTTTGCTCGGTTTTAACAAAAAGGAAACGTTCAAATCGCTTAAAACAGACGCGATAGCTGATTCGAACGAGTGATGTTCGACGGATGCGGCATCCATCTTTGTAATGTAGGCTACAAAATCTGCTTCAAAATCCCAGCGCTGTCGTCATCGTGTAAAGCCCGCCCCAACGTTTCTGATTGGTGCCTCGATTTTGACGGATTGGAAATGGGCTTGAATGAGCTCTTTGCCAGACTAACTTTCAGAGCAAATCTAAATTTGCCGGAAGTTGTCTGGGTTTACCCAGGCTAACGAGTTTCACAAAAATTTATAAAACTCACACATAAATAAAAGATGAGATTTGCAAATAATAAAAAAATATTTACAAATATGTTTTTTTGTCACAAACACAACTCTGCCTGGCATCTATTTGTGAACCGCTTTCTGTGCATTTGCACATCACTGCACGCATTTGTGAATATTTTCTTTTGCATTTGTAAATCCCCTCATGCGTCTGTGGATTTTGAAACACTTCTAGCGTCAACGTGCAGACAAATCCACAAATAAGTGGACTCCACCCCGTTTCCTCAAGCCAATCAGATAACGGCCACATTGAGCTGACCAATCGTAGCAAATAAAACAAAATGCATTTGATTATAATTAACATGACAAGGTGTACAAAACTAAAGTAGCCTAAATTCAAAAAAAAAATTACGTTTCTGTCAGTCTGAGGTTACGTCACTTGCGTCAAGTTGCGTGTGTCTTTCTTCGGTCTTGACTGATGGGGGCAAAAACGAATAATTCCGGTCCTTGAATCTGATTGGTTGAGCCGCGTTCAAAGCCATTTAGCCTGGGAAAACCCAGACAACTTCCGGCAAATTTAGATTTGCTCTGAAAGTCTGGCAAAGAGCTCATTCAAGCCCATTTCCAATCCGTCGAAATCGAGGCACCAATCAGAAACGTTGGGGCGGGCTTTACACGATGACGACAGCGCTGGGATTTTGAAGCAGATTTTGTAGCCTACATTACAAAGATGGATGCCGCATCCGTCGAACATCACTCGTTCGAATCAGCTATCGCGTCTGTTTTAAGCGATTTGAACGTTTCCTTTTTGTTAAAAACCAGAGATGGGGGACTCGAGTCACATGACTTGACTCGAGTCAGACTCGAGTCGCAAATTTAAGGACTTGAGACTTGCTTGACTAAATTAAGAAAATGACTCGACTTGACTTTGACTTGAGATCCAATGACTTGAGACTTGACTTGACTTGAACTGTATACATTTCCTTTTTGTTAAAAACCGAGCAAAGAACAACACTCGGAGATGTTTCTCCACCGCTCTGCATACGTCATCTCCTTCATCGCTCTGATTGGTTTTATGTCTATCCGCGACGTCCGTTGGTGACGCCCCTCTGGAAATGATTTGTCTATGACGCTTTGCCAGACCATAACTCAGTTACAACTGAGAATGGTCTGGTTTTAACCAGGCTAGAAGCCCTTGCAAATTACTCAACAAACATACACATGTGACCGCATTACATAAGTATTACTGCGCAAATGCCGTTTGTGATTCTTTGTTGCTGCATGTGTTGCTTGGCAACCTCTTTGGAACTAAACTGCTTGGCGGAGGAATAAATGTGTTATAACGTTATATTTTTTTGTTGCTGGTGTTTATTTTATGAATAAAATAAATCCATCCATCCATCCATCTTCTTCCGCTTATCCGGGGCCGGGTCGCGGGGGCAGCAGTCTAAGCAGAGATGCCCAGACTTCCCTCTCCCTGGACACTTCCTCCAGCTCTTCCGGGGGGACACCGAGGCGTTCCCAGGCCAGCCGGGAGACATAGTCTCTCCAGCGTGTCCTAGGTCTTCCCCGGGGTCTCCTCCCAGTGGGACGTGCCCGGAACACCTCCCCGGGAAGGCGTCCAGGAGGCATCCGAAACAGATGCCCGAGCCACCTCAGCTGACCCCTCTCGATGTGGAGGAGCAGCGGCTCTACTCTGAGCTCCTCCCGAGTGACCGAGCTTCTCACCCTATCTCTAAGGGATCGCCCAGCCACCCTGCGGAGAAAGCTCATTTCGGCCGCCTGTATCCGGGATCTTGTCCTTTCGGTCATGACCCAAAGCTCATGACCATAGGTGAGAGTAGGAACGTAGATTGACCGGTAAATCGAGAGCTTTGCCTTACGGCTCAGCTCTTTCTTCACCACAACAGACCGGTACATCGACCGCATTACTGCAGAAGCTGCACCGATCCGTCTGTCAATCTCCCGTTCCATCCTTCCCTCACTCGTGAACAAAACCCCAAGATACTTAAACTCCTCCACTTGAGGAAGGATCTCTCCACCAACCTGAAGTGAGCAAGCCGCCCTTTTCCGACTGAGGACCATGGCCTCGGATTTGGAGGCGCTGATTCTCATCCCAGCCGCTTCACACTCGGCTGCAAACCGTCCCAGTGCATGCTGAAGGTCCTGGTGTGAGGGGGCCAACACGACAACATCATCCGCAAAGAGCAGAGACGAAATCGCGTGGTCCCCAAACCTGACACCCTCCGGCCCCTGGCTGCGCCTAGAAATTCTGTCCATAAAAATTATGAACAGAACCGGCGACAAAGGGCAGCCCTGCCGGAGTCCAACATGCACCGGGAAGAAGTCTGACTTACTACCGGCAATGCGAACCAAGCTCCTGCTTCGGTCATACAGGGACCGGACAGCCCTTAGCAAAGGACCCGGGACCCCATACTCCCGGAGCACCCTCCACAGGCCGCCTCGGGGGACACAGTCGAATGCCTTCTCCAAATCCACAAAGCACATGTGGACTGGTTGGGCAAACTCCCATGAACCCTCCAGCACCCTGTAGAGGGTATAGAGCTGGTCCAGTGTTCCACGGCCTGGACGAAAACCGCACTGTTCCTCCTGAATCCGAGGTTCCACTATCGGCCGTATTCTCCTCTCCAGTACCCTGGCATAGACTTTCCCAGGGAGGCTGAGAAGTGTGATCCCCCTGTAGTTGGAACACACCCTCCGGTCCCCCTTCTTAAAAAGAGGGACCACCACCCCGGTCTGCCATCCCAGAGGCACTGTCCCCGACCGCCACGCGATGCTGCAGAGGCGTGTCAGCCAAGACAGCCCCACAACATCCAGAGACTTGAGGTACTCAGGGCGGATCTCATCCACCCCCGGTGCCTTGCCACCGAGGAGTTTCTTGACTACCTCGGTGACCTCAGCTACGGTGATGGACGAGTCCACCTCTGAGCCGTCAGCCTCTGCTTCCTCAATAGAAGACGTGACGGCGGGATTGAGGAGATCCTCGAAGTATTCCTTCCACCGTCCGACGACATCCCCAGTTGAGGTCAACAGCTGCCCACCTCCACTGTAAACAGCGTTGGTAGGGCACTGTTTCCCTCTCCTGAGGCGCCGGACAGTTTGCCAGAATCTCTTCGAGGCCAGCCGATAGTCCTTCTCCATGGCCTCACCGAACTCCTCCCAGGCCCGAGTTTTTGCCTCCACAACCACCCGGGCTGCAGTCCGCTTGGCCTGCCGGTACCTGTCAGCTGCCTCAGGAGTCCCACAAGCCAACCAGGCCCGATAGGACTCCTTCTTCAGCTTGACGGCATCCTTTACTTCCGGTGTCCACCACCGGGTTCGGGGATTGCCGCCTCGACAGGCACCGGAGACCTTACGGCCACAGCTCCGAGCCGCCGCTTCGACAATGGAGGCGGAGAACATGGTCCACTCAGACTCAATATCTCCAGCCTCCCTCGGGATCCGGTCGTGGCTCTGCCGGAGGTGGGAGTTGAAGATCTCTCTGACAGGAGATTCGGCCAAACGTTCCCAGCAAACCCTTACAGTACGCTTGGGTCTGCCGTGTCTGTCCAGCTTCCTCCCCCGCCATCGGATCCAACTCACCACCAGGTGGTGATCAGTTGACAGCTCCGCCCCTCTCTTCACCCGAGTGTCCAAGACATACGGCCGCAGGTCAGATGAAACGACCACAAAGTCGATCATCGACCTACGACCTAGGGTGTCCTGGTGCCACGTGCACTGATGGACACCCTTATGCTTGAACATGGTGTTCGTTATGGACAAACTGTAACTAGCACAGAAGTCCAATAACTGAACACCGCTCGGGTTCAGGTCGGGGGGGCCGTTCCTCCCAATCACGCCCCTCCAGGTGTCACTGTCGCTGCCCACGTGAGCGTTGAAGTCCCCCAGTAGAACGACGGAGTCCCCAGTCGGAGCATTTTCCAGCACTCCTCCCAGAGACCCCAAGAAGGCCGGGTACTCTGCACTGCCGTTCGGCCCGTAGGCACACACGACAGTGAGAGACCTATCCCCGACCCGTAGGCGCAGGGAAACGACCCTCTCGTTCACCGGGGTAAACTCCAGCACATGGCGGCTGAGCTGGGGGGCTATAAGCAAACCCACACCAGCCCGTCGCCTCTCACCATGGGCAACTTCAGAGTGGTGAAGAGTCCATCCTCTCTCAAGGAGTGTGGTTCCAGAGCCCAAGCCATGCGTAGAGGTGATCCCGACTATCTCTAGTCGGAACCTCTCAACCTCACGCACGATCTCAGGCTCCTTCCCCGCCAGCGAGGTGATGTTCCACGTCCCTAAGGCTAGTTTCCGTGTCCAGGGATCGGGTCGTCGAGGCCCCCGCCTTCGACTGCCGCCCGATCCTCTCTGCACCGGCCCCTTACGGCTCTTCCTGCAGGTGGTGAGCCCACGGGAAGGCGGTCCCACGTCGCTCCTTCGGGCTGAGCCCGGCCGGACCCCGTGGGGAGAGGCCCAGCCACCAGGCGCTCGCATACGAGCCCCAACCCCGGGCCTGGCTCCAGGGTGGGGCCCCGGCTGCGCCATACCGGGCGACGTCACAGTCCTTGTATTGTTGTGCATCATAAGGGGTTTTTGAACCGCTCTTAGTCTGACCCGTCGCCTAGGACCTGTTTGCCTTGGGAGACCCTACCAGGGGCATATAGCCCCAGACAACATAGCTCCTAGGGTCATTCGGGTACTCAAACCCCTCCACCACGTTAAGGTGGCAGTTCAAGGAGGAGAATATAATATAATAAAATAAATATTAAAATGAATATTTGTATGGAATAACCGTTTTATAAAAGCAATAAGCCCCTTGAAGCCGTGTTTTACAGTGAATTTAGAACAGCTAAGGGGTTTTTAGGAGTTCTAACAACGCCCCTTAGCTGTTCTAAATTCACTGTAAAACACGGCTTCGCTTTTGCTTTTGCTTTCGCTATTGCTTTAGTGAATAAACATCAAGGTAACAACTTCCATTTTAAAACACACCAGAGCCATATAATACATTACAATACAACAGTGAAATATAGTTTAGCTGTCATTATACAAACCACTCATGGCAGTTGAGCAATCATAATCAAATATTCTGAGGCTCATGTAATAAGAAATTATATAAAGCATATTGTGTTCAAAATTAATGAATAAGTATGTTTGTTTTCACAGGAGAGGTCGGTGACTGGGTTAACCATTTCACCCCAGCTCAATCCAAGATGTTTGATGAAGACTATGCAAACCAAATGAAAGATGCAGACATTCCTTTCCGCTTTAGCATGCATTAATAATTTGTGCAACATTACATATATAATATCACATTCACATGCTATTCAACTGATCTCTTCTAATTACAAATATGTATTACAGAAAATAACTTCTTTTTTTTCAGAGCAAATAAAATGTCAGCATTTCTATAAAAGTTTAGACCTATATCAGACTTAGAGCATTATGCTTTCAGGCTCAGGTACTTAAACGTTATAATTTATAGCTTGATTAATTTACAGTTAAGGTCAAGACAATTACCAGGATAGAAATAAAGAGCTAAAGTTAGCCATTGTCCAGTGAGGGACTGAGAAATGGAGGACATGATGGTGTCCAATTTAAGGTTATTTAGATTTTCTTTATAACCATTTTTGAAATGTTGATATTATAATGCAATACTCTGTATTGTTATCTAACTGGATGTAATGTTTTAAATTTGCACAAACCAATATTAAACTAATACCATAAAATTTAAATAAACACATAAATAATCAAATCCTTTAATGTTTGTTACTGTATGTTGTTTTCCTCTCTGAAAATGATATTGCTTTTTGGAGGATGATGACCTGGTTTTTGTTATTTAAAGGGATAGTTCACTCAAAAATAAAAATTCTTTCATTAATTACTCACCCTCATGTTGTTTCAAATCCCGTAAGACTTTCTTTCATTTTCGCAATGCAAATGAAGATCTTTTTGATGAAATCTGAGAGCTTTCTGTCCCTCCATTTACATCTATGCAACCACTTTGACACTTCAAAAAGTTCATGAAGAGACCGTAAAACTGATCCATATGAATTGAGCGGTTTAGTCAAAACTTTCTGAAGAGACACGATCTCTTTATATGATGAACAGATTGAATTTAGGCTTTTATTCACGTTGCATTACTATCTCGGTATCTCATTCATACTGTTTGGTTGACCATCACAACGGCATATTTTTTTTATTTTAGTTTATTTTGTATTGGTTTTAAAGAATTACAAATACAGCCTGTGGTAAATTGAATAAACAGGAATAAAACAAATAAATTAATTAAACAGTGACAAAATCAAGTTAAAGGTGAACATGTGAGCGGAAAAATCCCACTTGCAACTTTGAGCCGGCGACCCGCCGGCCGCAGCATCAGGAAGTGTCGCGTGATATCCAAGGGGGTAATCCATCGACCGGAAGTTGAAGACGGCCGGGTGCCGCCATCTTGTAGCAGAACTTCACTTGCGTTAGCATTTCCATTGACTCCCATTCATTTTGGCGTTACTTTGACAGCGAATAACTTTACATCTGAGGCGTTTAAAGACTCCATTTGTCCATTATTTATTTCTAAAGAAACACGACAATGTATAAAGGGCTCCATTACCTTCTATGTTACATTATGGCCCCGTAGAAACAGTTTTTGTAAAAATAGGCTAACGATTGCGTCATAACCACTCGACTCTCTGTTGCGCTGTACAGAAATTACCGTACAGACAGGAGGAGAAGCTCGCAGGCAATCGGGGGGACGTCCCGTCAAGGGAGAAGCCCATAGATAATGAGTCCATAAAAGCAACAGAATACTTACTCCTGCTCACTCACGCCAAAGAACTCTTTGCTCAAGTTCCCCGTCTCTGCAAGATTAACGTTGGCAATTTTCACGCACAGCTACTAGAAGATTTACGTCTGTCAGACAGGTTGCTAACGTCATCAAGCTTAGTTTGAGTCGGTTTGAGTCTGCAACGGAAGTGCTCAAAAATCACTAAAAATGGGCTTCAACTGTCTCAACTGAGTTCCAATGAGATGGCTCTGTCCACTTCTTATACTGTCTATGGTGATATCAGGTCTCGCGATGTAACGAATTGCTTTAGGCAAAAAACAGATCTGATAAAATTCTGATAAAATGAGCATCAAACAGAAATAACCCGGCGCCGTATACATGTGGTGTTCGAGGCGCACATACAATACAGACTGCAGACAGTTAAACAGGGCGCGCGCAGCTCTTAACCCTTTCACACGTAAGTTTAAAATATTCTAACTGACCCCCCAGCGTGAGTTTTTCAAGGCGACCGTTATTTAGAACCTGTCACTTTAATGTTTCCATGGTGACGCGTCATTTCTTGTCACGTGACACAGCGCAATCACAACACAGAGCTGAATGATGATCTGCTTTTATGTCTTTTTTCCTTTTCTATTCAAAATATTCACAAATGTATTACCTACAGCATGAAACACTGATATTCCGATTGTCAAATATGTGCAAGTGGATGTGTTTTGTTGTTTAAACATCTTTATAACGATCGCGTTAGTTGAGCTGGATGCGCGATGGGCGGCGCCATGTTAGTTTGTTTCACAGTTCAGAGAATCGGATCTGTTGTTTCTCACGAAATACATGAAAGTAAGTGGCCGGTGAACTGGGAGAAGAATAGGGTCAAATGTAAAGCTACTTACACAATGTGTATCTGACATGAATAAAACGTTTCGTCTTATTATAATGGAAATGATTATTGTTGCCGTTTCCATAGACATCAGTGTCTATTTTACTAATTCAAAATCACTGTTTTGCTAGTACTTATGTGTATTTAAATGTCTGAACCCTAAAATAAACATTATGTGGTTTAAAATACTCAATAGTTGTGATATATGACAGCACTGAGTGCGTCCGTCTCTGGCTCAGCGCCAGCCAACGCGCGAAAGCACGTTTGAATTTAGCAGTTGATCACGTGATGCACTGACCGTTCTAATCACACCGGTGTGATCGTACGCTCCAGGGACCAGCCAAGACTGATCACACCGGTGTGATCGTACGCGTCAAAGGGTTAAGGCCAATTTATACTTCTGCGTCGGGTGCGCGCAGTAGGTACGGCGTAGCATACGCACAGACGCGTACCATACGCCGTACCCTTCGCCGTAACCTGACGCGCACCTCCTCAAAAATGTAACTACACGTCGCGACGACGCAGACCGCAAGATCTGTGATTGGTCGGCTTGGTAGCATCGCGTTTCCTCCTATGCATTTCCGGCGTGTTCTTCTGCACCGCCCGCCATTTTTAAATTCTAAGTACAGCGAAACTGTTAAAAAAAAACTAAAAATGTACCTTTTCCACCTCGATAAGCTCCAACTCCAACATGATCTGCTCTCTTTCAGTCGCCATTGCTTGTAGTAACCTAAACTCAAAACAGCCGCGAGGAATCTTCTTCTTCTTGCCGCGAGGAATCTAAACACAGTGGAACATTAAAACCCTCCGCCGCCAACTAGCGTTTCGGCGCTGTACTGCAGAGCAACGCAGACCTAAACGCAGAAGTATAAATGCTCATGACGGCGTCGCCTACGTGCGTAGCCTACGCCGTACACTACGGCGTACACTCGACGCAGAAGTATAAATTGGCCTTTAAAGGGGCCATACCTTATTTCCACTCGTTACAGCGTCCATCCTACTGAACAGGTACCGGTGTACAGGGGGAGGGGATCCGGCCGTGAGTGCGAGCCATCTCTGCGTGAGTGCTATTCACGACAGTACAAGTACTCCACAGCGACTCTAGGGGTCGCTGTTTGACAAAAACGGAATTCCTACTTAGTGCTGCTTTAAAGGGATACTCCACTTTTTTTGGAAATAGGCTCATTTTACAACTCCCCCAGAGTTAAACTGTTGAGTTTTACCGTTTCTGAATCCATTCAGCCCATCTCCGGTTCTGGCGGTACCACTTTTAGCATAGCTTAGCATACATCATTGAAGTGGACAAGACCATTAGCATTTTTCAAAAAAAAAAAAATGACCAAAGAGTTTCGATATTTTTCCTATTTAAAACTTGACTCTTCTGTAGTTACATCGTGCACTGAGACCGACGGAAAATGTAAAGTTGCGATTTTCTAGGCTGATATGGCTAGGAACTATACTCTCATTCCTGCGTAATAATCAAAAAACTTTACTGCCGTACCATGAGTGCAGCAGGCGTAATGATATGACGCAGCACCTGAAAATAGGCCACCTTCCATCAACACAACGGAACTATTTTCAGGCGCTGCGTCATATCATTAGATGTCATATATAGACATTTAGAAGATGTCTTTAAGATGTTTAAGATTTAGAATGTATGTAAAACTGTTTTTTCTGAGACTGAGATGTTTTTACACAGATAGCACACATACGTCTGCAAGATGTCTGTTAAAGATCACTTCATCTGGAAACCCTCTGATGTGTACAAACATCTGATAGACGTCTTTAAGATGTCAGTTTTACATACATTCTAAATTATAAACATCTTAAAGACATTTTCTGAATGTGTATGTGACATCTGACAGGAAGCGTCCTATAGACGTATTGCAGATGAGCAAACACTCTAAAAAAATACATCTTCCATATAAACACGCACATCAAATAGACGTCTCCGAGATGTAGGCCTAGGCTACGTGTGCTATCGCTTTTCAGATTAACAGATCTTTAGCAGACATTTTACAGACCGGAGAACGGAGATAAATTATGTTGAGAAAACATCAAATAAATATGTGCAAAAAACAAACAAATAAAACATTTCTAAAACACAGTTGAAAGCTAGGCATGATGTGAGCATTAATAAAAGAAAAGAAATCTGACCAAAAAACTAGCCTAATTGAATGAGGACAACTCCAAAATAAATGAAAGCATGTTTTTGCATGTAAACCACAAAATGTAAAAAATATATCAATACAAAACGTTGTCATATAGACTAAACAAGGACTACTATCCTGGCGACGTCGTGTGTTTGCTGGGAAGTGTTCTTGTTATACGGTTTTTATTTTGTCAATAAAAATATCAATGTAATATGATATTTGAGACTGTAATGAACTGGCCACCGACACAGGATTTAGCGCTTAGAAAATGAATGGCTAGATGGATTGATGGATGATCTATCTATTCGAGCCATGGCGCGCCCTCTCTCGGCTGTCATGACAGGTTTTCGTCTGGTGTGTTTGTTTGTCCTGGAGGCGGAGCATCGCGTGACATACTAACTGACGGTCAAGAGTGCGGAAGTTATAGGCTCCGCACATTAAACAAATATTTTACTTTTTATTTCTTCTCTTTTGAACTCTGATTTGATTGTAATAGAGCGGATGGAGTCACAGTGCAAAGAGGAACCGGTGCTGCACATCGTAGTTGTGGGATTTCACCATAAAAAGGGTTGTCAGGTAAGAGACTGTCCGCATGTTTGTTTATTAATATTAATCTGCTTCAAACGTGTCGTGCGCTTCTCTATTACCCGTACAAATAATTTATGTTTTTACTATTGTATAATTTATTATTTACCATTGATACTTTGGTGTAGAAATGCAACAAAAAACAATAAGCAAAATTAAATCTGCTTAAGGAGCTCGACTTCACTAAATGATGAATGGTCATAAATTATCAACATCGCCTGTAATTCCATGCTGATGTGTGTGAGATCTAGCATTTCTGCCTTCATTCCATCCAGAAAAACAAAACAACAAAAAACACATTTCTT